GATTAATCATACCAGCTTCAAAATGGTTCCGTTGTTCCGGTAACTGATCACGCGTGAAAACACATCTCGAGTGATCGATGTTTAAGCACCAAGCAACTTGAAGTAAATCAAAATTAGGCATGAGAAATTTGTTCCTTGACCATACAGCGCTCTTTGCAATCTTAGACCCCGTTCAGTTTTTATGGTTTTAAACCATTTCTTCTTGTTTTTATTAATGCCAGGCGCGCAAGTGAGACAATGGCAGTGAGTACGAAAACATACAACTGTGTGTTTAGAATCGTAAATAACTTTTCTAACATCTGTGCAAAATCAAATTATATGTGATAGTGGAACTATTCCTTGTCATTTAACATCATCCAAAGTGCCGCAAATTCTTGGTTAAAATCTTCATTCATCGTTGATACTTCTGTTCCAGCGCCGTTCATTGTCATAGTGTGATTCTTGGGGTGATCAGTGATACCCTTTGCGAACATCGTTTACGGACAGCTGATAGCTGACTGAATAATGATCATCGGAATATCGTGCGTGACCCAGTATCGTCGTAGCAACGTCAATATTTGCGAGACAATATTCTTTCTTTCATTTCAATCATGTATTTGATGATGTTAACAATTGTCATGACATCATTGTTGACGTCGACGAAGACTCGATCTCCAATTCCATATAAGGTATCATCTGCTTTCAAAAGTTTACATTCGATCACAATAAATGCCTTAGCGTGCAGGGGTATCTGCTTGTATCTTGAACTGGGAGTTCGATTCGTCCATGAACGTCAGGTACACGGCATCAAAAGAATAATGGTGATAATTACACACCGATCCATCCTCATATGTTGGATCAGATACACACTTGTACATATATTATTTGTTGTCTCGGCGGATCGTTGTTTTGTCAGTGACGTCACGCTAGCTAATTATTTTAGTCGTTCATTTTGCGACTTGAGTTATTATTTTACTGACACTTGCTGCTTTCGCTTGAGCCTTTCTCGGATTGCTGAGAATGCTTTACAAGCGGAATCATCAGCAGTGCCAATAGCTTTGTCACGAACTACTTCGATGACTTTATATGCCTAATTGTTTTGCAATCATGATCGCTTTTGGAGCTATCGTTCTAAATAAACCTTAAACAACATCACCAATCTCATCTCCGGATTTAACTTTATATTCTTGTAATCGTCCTGTACTTCATAGGTCCAAGTTGAACATTGTGTATAACCATGATATTTTGTTTTTGCCGATCTCACTGATCAAACGATGTAGTAATTATCGATAATTTCATCGACTAAAGCTCCATAAATGCTGTTGTCCATGACGCTACCGGTAAATAGTCGCTGACTAATAGCATCTGTTTCATTGATGAATTCGGGGATTTATTGTCCTCCAATGACGGTTTCTAGTCGTTTAACATCAGCAATGATGTTATTGGGGCAAAGTTTATCGTAAACTGGCGGAGATGTTTGTTACGACCATAAGCGCGAGTGGTCAGTTGCTTCTAAATATGATCATTCGTCATGTGGTTCCAGAGCGCTGGGGAGTTCCCTTAACCCAGCTTCTGCCTTCTTTCCTTGTTTCAGATCTAGTTTTTACGCATGATTTTTTCCTTTCCGCTACTTCCTCAATTTTACACCGAAGTAGGACGTTTTGGCGCCGCCAGTTTGACGCGACCGTTTTGGCTGAGCCGTTTTGGCGCAGCAGGACGTTTTGGCGCCGCCGTTTTGGTGTCAGAATCAGCTTACGTTGACATATGGCCTGAGTACTGTATGTTGTGATACACTTAATCATTTTACCAGACTATATTTACAGTCGACGGACCTCTGAAGACGCGAACAGAAAACAACTACAACTAATTGAACGACGATCAATACTTCTGTTGTTTATTTTAAATATACAAATAAATTAGTTTTGCTAAAACTTCAGAGAAAACTGATTACATTCGATGTACCGATTGCTGTGCATGAATACAAAGCCAATGGAAAAAAATGTCAATCAAAATTATATGCTATCATAAGTGAAACTTTATCGTGAGTAAACGAAAGTTAAATGTTGCGTGTTCGTCGTCTTATACTAAGAGTTAAGTTAAAAAAAAATAACAAAATTAACGGCATTTTGGATTCAGTAGAAATTCATCAGACAACACAGTCACTAAACCTGATGTTATACCTGACAGTTCACACGCAAGTTGTGATCATAAGATTATATTATATATTTGCCCTAATAAGAATACGTTCATATAAAATCCATGCGGTAAGATTTAAAATACACCTGTTTAGATTACCTTGTAACTAACACGGTGGAAAATCAGTAAACTGTCTCTAACTTTTGGGGTGGGTTGGGGTTATCAGTTATAATTACTGATTTGCTGTAAATAAACACGAATGCATCTTTATCTATCAATTTTCAAATATATTTCCACAGCAAAGCTCATAGTTTGTTCATCGAACGTTGGTCGCCAAGCGGAACGTTGATCGGTTCGAATCACGCGGCGGACAATTTGTTGGCGTTTACAAAAAAAAAATATTATAATTGGGGGACAGCTGCGAACGGCTGAGAAGATGTTGAAATATCTATCAGCGGGTATTTGTAACGAACATAACTTGACCCTGGAGAAGCTAACCTACGCCCACCCCAGCCCCCTAGGGTGCTCGTTTTGCACCCATTGGTTCATTTTGGGTGTGTGTGTCTGATTACAAATTAAACAATTTTAAAAATAAATATAACAATGAACCGTAAAATAGTATATCGCGCATTATACAGCTGGACGCAGTCATCTCCTTGTGTTATATATATATATATATATATATATATATATATATATATATATATATATATATATATATATATGTGTGTGTGTGTGTGTGTGTGTAAATATATATATATATATATATATATATATATATATATATATATATATATATATATATATATATATATATATATATATATATATATTGCACAAGAAGACCGCATCTGGGACTTAACTCTTGTCGTGCTTCAGTGAAGGATTTTATCTTGCCAACCAGGCTTATATAAAAAGCTCGTATTGGCTTTTGGAAACAAAGAAATCAACACATTTCAAAGGCCAATATTATAAAATCGGAGCCTTGGCCTGGGTGGGTTGGCGCCTCTCAAAAGTAAGGTTGGCAGACCCCGCTCCCCTTCTTCGCTACTTCACTTAAAATAGATTTTATCGTGTATACTGCCTTTTTAATGTCTCGTAGGAAACGCAATCACTGTTGTGATATTATAATACAACTTTGACTTTCTCGCCAGTCCAAAATTGTCGGACACGCAAATCTAATTGCATACTAAGCCTCGTACACATTTCACTTTTGATTCCATATCAAGAAGAAAGATAGTCCATTAAAGAACTACTATTTACTTCAGTCAATACAAACCGCATACAAATCACCTTATTTATAAATATCTAATAAAGAAGACGTTCTAGCATTATCTAATTGTATCCATTTTATTGCTTTAAAAATATTTTGAAGGAAATAATATATGGTTTGAAAGAAATGATTAGTCATATATGGACACAACTTAGCAGAAAGTTATTCAGTGAATTAATTACAAAACCGGGTGAAATAACACAACGGATACACAGTTCAGCTGTGCGAAACAAGAGCACTCTAAGATGGAGTCATAGACCATGCTTGCTGATAATAAGGGAAAAGTTTTTTAAAACGTAGTTTAAAATATAGTTATAATCAATATTGACTACAAGAATAAAAATCGACAAAGGACGGGTGTTTTTGGTACGAGAGATGCATATTCGCCTCGACATAAATTCGTTTTAGTAACAAGGGTTAAAAGGTATTTAATTACTGCACGAACTGGAGGAGCAAACTAACAGACGAACGGACGCAGTGACAGACAAACACGCAGAGAACACAAATCTTTTGCACAATTAGCTACTCTCTTTGCATGGTTAGGAAAGTAGGAAAGATCGCAGTGTATTTCAAAAGTCGCCCAAATGCTCACAGATAGACAACATCGTACATTGGTTTATGGTTTATATATATATATATATATATATATATATATATATATATATATATATATATATATATATATATATATATATATATATATATATATATATATATATATATATATATATATATATATATATGCATCACTGGTTCATTGGTCCTATTTCCTTCAGCCTTATGTTTTTATTGATTGGACCTGCGATACACATAATAAAATAGGTTCAATGCTTCTGCAAATATCTTTATCAAATATGACGAGACTCCTTAAAGGCAATAAAAGGACAATTGGTCGACGTGTAAAACGACTGCATTTTCCTTATACTGATAAAACGTTTACTCAAGCTTCGATATCTGATTTGCCTCTACCAGCACTTTGATATAAACGAAAAGTGTTTGAATTTATAATGTACTTTTACTCACACAGGCAAAGAATACATACATACATACATACATACATACATACATACATACATACATACATACATACATACATACATACATACATACATACATACATACATACATACATACATACATACATACATACATACATACATACATACATACATACATACATACATACCTACATGCATGCATGCATACACACTCACGCACGCACTCACACGCACGCACTCACTCACTCGCACGCACGCACGCACGCACGCACATACATACATACATACATACATACATACATACATACATACATACATACATACATACATACATACATACATACATACATACATACATACATACATACATACATGCATGCATGCATACACACGCACGCACGCACTCACACGCACGCACGCACTCACTCACTCGCACGCACGCACGCACGCACGCACATACATACATACATACATACATACATACATACATACATACATACATACATACATACATACATACATACATACATACATACATACATACATACATACATACATACATACATACATACATACATACATACACACATACATACATACATACATACCTCTCCGGTGGCCTAGTGGTTAGAGCGTCTGCCTCAGATGCAGGGGGGGGGAGTCGTGAGTTCAAGCCCCGCCTGAGTCATACAATAAAATTGGTATTACAGCTGCCTCGCTTGGCGCTCAGCATTAAGAGGTTAGTGTTAGGACTAGTTAAAACATGCCAGGATAATGTGACTGGATGGGGCATGATGCTACATGTGTGAGAGTTTTACAAATTAAGCTTTTACATAATGTTCTTCAAATTGTGTGTTTTGACAAAATCATGACTGTTCAAAAACGTTTTAATTAGAAAGGAGTTTTGTGTTGATACTGTTAGGGTGAGGTAATGTAACAACTCAACAGAGCTTTAGTAGTAAAGGAATATGAAGTTCCTAGCTCAGAAGCCCATAATGCTTCAAAACCCCTTCTATATTAATATTTTTGTCAGCAGCCTTTTTAGCTCAAAATGATGATTTTTTCTGACAAAACGTGCTTTGTTGGGGCAGGGTGTCCCTAAGATAGGAACAACTAATTTCTTACTTCTACTGAAATCAACTTATTTATCAATGTTAGATAAAATTATTTTAGAGATTTGAAATATTATGTAAGGTGGTATTTGAAAGAATATTAAAACACTCTCAACAAAATTTATTTAAAGATTAAAGAAAGGACCATATTATGAAAATCGTTCAATCTTGTTCATATCCGGACCAATTTCCATAAAATAATGAAAAACGTGCACACAGTTTCTTTTTTAAAAATATCTGAAAAAACATTGACTAAATTTGATAGGTAAGAATCTTAGCATAAAATTGTTTAATAGAGGCATAAATGATGCCGATCTACCATCATATATAGCGCTGTATTATACTAAAAATGACAAACTAATTAAAGAACATCTGCTCAAATATCTCTGAAAACGATTTGCCTAAATTTCAAAGAAAGTATTCTGGTATGAAGGACTTTAAATTTGTGTAAATGAAACCAATCCGTCCATTATTGTAACAAAGCTGCTAAAGTAAAATATTGTTTTAAGTTACTTGTACGGGATTTGCTAAACACAATTTACAAAAAATTATATAAACTATCCAGATACTAATGGCTCCTAAATGTGTTGTTTAAATGGGGCTGATTCGCCATCAGACTTTGCCGACATTTATATAAAAAAAAAAACCTAGAAAGAAAAAGCTTTAAACAGCTTTTCAAATGAGAAGTGTAGATTTGTTAGAGCTAGACTAATTTGTTTTTATCCCGTTGAATGCCTCATTCGAGAATATTAAAAATGAAACTTTGAAAATCAATATGCAAGAATTGTACGGAATGGTTTCCAAATCATTAGAATTACTAAACCACTTGTGCTCAAGTATAAGTAAATATAATGATGTTTGCCAGGAATTTTCTTTTTCCAGATCAAAAAGTTTCTTTTAACCGTTAAGGTGTTTGGTGCCAGATCCGCTAGCAAGATATTTCATTAATGACACTTCTAAATTATAACATATTTGATTTGGTCTGTTGTAAAGCATTATTTCACTACAAAATTACCTACTACAGACTCTAATACAGCAAACAGGTCTGGAATTCAAATGACTATTTTGCTATAGAGAATGGTAAAAACCGTTCGGAACACTATAGTTGTTTAGATTTGAAATAATACTTTGCTATAGACTGTGGTTTGAATCATTTGCAACATTGTATAATTGTTTTGCAATGGAATATTGTCTGAAACATTTGCAACACTGTATACCTGTTTCGATTTGATATAAATATTTGCTATAGACTCTGGTCTGTATCAATTTAACTCTGTATAGCGTTTTGCTATAGACTCTGGTCTGAACCATTTGCAACACTTTATTATTGTTTAGATTTGAAATAATACCTTTTGCTATTGACTCTGGTCTGAACTATTTGTAACACTTTATAAATGTTCTGATTTGAAATAATACCTTTTGCTAGACTCTGGTCTGAACGATCTGGAACACTGTATATCTGTTTTGCTATAGTCTCTGGTCCGTACCATTTGCAATAGAACAGTGTATAACTGTTTTTCGGATCTAGTGTGGCTGAAGGTACAAAATATAAATTTCCATTGTAATTATTTTGCCTGTTCAAAAGTAAAGAAACACAAAACTTATCTTGCAGTATCTGAATTGTAAATGGTACTAAAATAAATGCTTAATTCGTAGTTTTGATTTTAAAAAAAAAAATATTTGCAGGGGTGATATTATTGTGACAATTATATATCGCTATCCCGAAAGGACGAGCTGAGATTTTGCTGGTAAACATGCAGTTTTAACAAAGTCCGTCGTGCAAATGTATAGCGCAGAGTGTATGCGAAGTCTGTGTAGATAATTTTGTTTCTGTATAAAATGAAAACCAAGTTATTGTCTTCATACAAGCCACAGTATAAAAAGCTGATCTTATATACGCCTAGATTGTGAAAGGATTTAAAACACTGCACGCAAGCAAAACACTCTCATTACTTTGCATTCAAGAATTTACACAAATGAGCGTCATTGTAGTCATTAATGTATATATAATAAACTCACACAGGAAGTTAAATGTAACATTAATACAAGGAATACAAATTAACATAATACGTCTGAATGCGATAGTAACAATGTGTACGAGGTACTTACGTTCTGAACGCAAGATAACTATATACTATATTACGCGTGAACTCTTCTTAGGGGTAGCAGTGTAACAGTTTTGATAATAACAAACCCCAGGAGATGAAATCTATAGGCAGGTGAGCTTTTCCTAATAAGGTCTAAAGGCACTATAAAAAACGCATACAAATTTGTAAAATATATTTTGAAATAATCCTAACCAATATATCAAATTTAGTTTAATATATATCGAAAGTCATTTAAATAAAAAATGAATATTTCTAACCTCGATGAACTATTACCAAAACAAGTTAGAGACAGCTACTACCCTCTTAATACAATTTCAAACGAGGAAGGAATTGAAATCGATGAATGAGCTTAATCTTAAAGAATTATTATTAAAGGGCTTAATATTCATTTGAGAAAACTTTAAATATGCATATTTTTCATGATGATAAAAGGAAGACTTGCATGTCAGTTTGAAAGAAATTCAACGGTACTAGCAGCAGGGAGGGCGAACCCTACAAAATTTTGCGACAAAATCGATTAAAGCCTCAGAATGCCAAATGGAGCCTTCCTACGAAATCTCATATTTTAACCAAAAAAAATAAAGACCCCATTTTACAAATGGAGCCTTAGCGATTTTGTCGTAAATATATTGTCATAACCACCCTCAAAATTGCTATCATCTACGTCGCAAATATGTTGTCATCTCGCCCTCCCTGCTGCTGGTTAATACAAATTATTTAACCAAATATTTGATCAAGTCCAATACGATATCGTGACCGATGGTCGTGTAAATTTATTGTTATAAATCCATATGGGACTGACTGAGCATGACTAAAGTAATTTTTAAATCCATTGAAGTCCATATCGGAACACCATATCGGCCAAATATTTCGTAGCGTATGTGTATCAACGCCATTGAATACAGCAAGAATATTGCAGTTATCGCGAATCACTTTTGGAATTTGAGTGTATCGTTGAGTGACATATATCACATCAGTGTTTTTATGCCTACCTCGGGAAAATATTCTAGCAGGGTTCTTTTGATTATCTAACATTACATCATCGTACACTACAAGATTGTTTATGTCTCCATCGAGATCTTCTACTGATGGTGCATCATTAATATCAGTAATAAAGTCAATTACACTTTCACCTTTAATTTCTGATGCATTTTCATTATAATCTTTTAGCACTTCATAGCACCGTTGATCATCTACGGATGGGGCAACTAAATATAATTTATCCCACTTCATAAATCGCATTATCAAATTAAGCAGCAATTGTGTTTTACCCGATCCAGATGGTCCGATTATAATGGCACGGACAGAATTCGGAAGCTCTGCGTGGTGTTTCACCGGTTCTCTTCTTTTAGTCGCTGAAAAATCAATTATATTCATAACGCTATATATAAATTATGGATCTATATTGTGTTAAATGTAAACAGCGTACTGATACAACCGATCAGACAACCATTACAACTAAAAACAATAGACTAGCGCTTATTGGTAAGTGTGTAACATGTGGTACAAAAAAATTTAGATTTTTAAAAAAAAGCAACTCGTAGGTGATATTGCCGCAAAACTTGGAAAACGCCCCGGAAACCCATCGGCAAAATACCCCGGAGAAAAACACCTTCCAGGATATAGTTACTGTGGTCCCGGAACGAGATTAGATATAAGACTTGATGATCAAAATCAGCCCCGGCCTGGTGAGTATCCCATAAATGCTATTGATAAGGCATGTCATGCTCATGATGTTGCATATAAAAGCAATAATTTGCAACAAAGACATCTCGCGGATGTAAAATTAATTCATGCGTTAAATGCTATTCCCGATAAATCCTTCAAAGAAAAATTGGCTTCATGGTTGGTCAAATCAGCTATGAAAGGCAAATAGGTGTTAGGTGCTGGTAATTAAAAACACTAGTGTTTTTATAGTATGGAATCTATTTATTATTCTCCGAAAGGATACTGGAGGGGTAAAGCAGCAATCAGTAAACTCGCTAACGCTGCAAAAGTGAAAAAGTCCACTGCGGAAGATTGGTTATTCAAACAAGCTATATGGCAAATTTATCTACCACCGCCTAAACAAATTAATTATTCTCAGTTGATGTTACCGTACCCAATGAAGTTCATCAGGCTGATTTATTGTTTTTACCACATGACCATGGTTACAAATACGCGCTAACTGTAGTTGACATTGCGAGTCGATTTAAACAAGCAGAACCATTGAAAACAAAGTCAGCTTCTGAAGTCATTTCTGCATTTGAAAGGATTTATAGACGAGGTCCTCTAAGATGGCCAAATCTATTACAAGTTGATCCTGGCAAAGAATATCAAGGTGCTGTTCTATCAACAATGAAAACTCATAATGTTACAATACGACGGAGACATACTGCGTTACATCGTGATCAGGCAATTGTAGAACGATTTAATCGAACTTTTGCAGAACGGTTATTTGGATATCAATATGCAAAAGAATTCATCCA